ACGGGCAGCCAGGCGCAGGGGGCGGGGCGCGGCGGCTCGCATTGACGGCTAGCTGGCGCAAGCGGGCAGCCTGCGGCAGCAGCGGCTGACCAGCGTGTGCACGCGCCGACGCCGCGACGTCGGGGCAGCAGGCCCGGTGACCACGCACAGACTGAGAAGTAGGCTGAGAACGCGTTGTGCATGGTTTTTAAAGCATTTGAAACCTCTAACGAATTGCTACAGTCCCCAAACCAACTTCGCTACACCTTAGGGGTCCATTAGGCTACTAAACCAAGCAATAATACTTCACTGTTGCTTAACTCAATTTCTTTACAAAAATTACCAAACATAACAATGTCAAGCCTACCAAAAGTTCATGAAATTTTTCTAAGCGTTGAATAAATTTCTATTTCTAGTTGCATTTCCAAGCTATCGAAAATTGTACTTAACAATATTATTTATCAACACCAAGTATTTCATTGTCATCTATACAGTTTATACTTCAAACTTTATTTAACAATATTATTTATCAACACCAAGTATTTCATTGCCATCTACACAGTTTGTACTTCAAACTTTATTTAACTATCACATACATGTTCTATAGCATTTTGCTTAATAAAAATTGGTTTTAAACCCTAAGTGATCTAACATGACTATCGAATCAACTTTCGTTTCGCATTTTTGTCAATCGTTTCGAGTTACAGAAATTGAGCTACACACATTATCACATGCATTAACACATAAATATGATGCTCATGATATGTTTTAGTAAATGATTTACGGTGTAACACCGAGGGTGTTACAAGAATGCAATTATAGGAATCATGCTAGTCAAACTAGTACAAGTTTGACCAAGTTTATAGTAAATAGTATTAATATTTATGTCTCTAAATAAATTTATTATAAAATATATTCTATAGTTAATTTAATGATACTTATTTTGTATCATGAATGTTATTACATTTTTATATAAATTCAGTCAAAGTTTAAATGGCTTGGCTCCTTGGAAAACGAGAATTGCATTCTTTCGTGAACGGATTGGAGTATCTATAGAGATCTTCTTCATGCTAAGGTCTTGTGGAAGCCGTAATAATTCAATTTTTTTTCTAAGTAATACGTGCATGCTGCCTACCCTTTTTAGTTAGTGGTCAACGTACTGAAGACCAGATAATGTGAATTAGATATCACCCACGACTTCGCCCCGTTCGCTTAAGCTTATTCAGAACTATTTTTCAGCTATGGAACAATGTTTTTCTCTCACAGCATTTCAGCATAAGCATCAGCATAAGTCAAATTTCAGCATGAACGAACGGGGTGTTTTAGCGGTCAACGTACTGAAGTCCATATCATGGCAATTAGATCTCACGCACGATGTGCCAGGTACAGCATCACTTTGTAATTCCTACTAGTACCATAGAAAAAATTGAGTTGGAAAAGCATCGGTTTGCACGCACTCCCTCCCTATTTAAATCACAGGGGTCAGGGGCGTAGTGTTTGTTCACAGCTAGCTAGAAGCAACTAAGCCAAGGATCTCCATCTCTAGAGCTTGCTTTCCACAGATCCAGATAGCAGAGCTAAAGCTTTCTCCACAATGCCCAGATACTTGCTACAGTATTTAGTTCCTCTTTGCATTCTCCATCTCCACAATGCCCAGATTCCTCGCCCTCGTAACCATCACCGTTGCCGTTGTCAGCTCCTTCCATGTCTCTGCAACGGAACCGGCTGTCGTCGATCGTAATTCGCTACTCTCCTTCAAATCTAGCGTCCAAGGAACCTTTCCGATTGGGGCTCCCATAGGATGTGGACTTGGACTGGTGTTACATATGACTCGAGAGGGCGTGTAATTTCCCTCCAACTCCATGCCTTCAACCTCACCGGCGATCGGCAACCTGTCTGCACTTGAGGTTCTTGATCTCAGTGTCAACCAACTTTCGGGCAGCATCCCCCAGAGCTTGGCAAGCTGTCACGGCTGGGGTATCTGAGCCCTGACAACAACCTTCTCACAGGGGTAATCCCTGAAACGCTTGGCCTTCTAAAAAGCCTGACTGACATTTCCCTCTCTTACAACAATCTCACCGGTGAAATCCCAGATATCTGCAATTGCTCCTCCTTGACCACCATTATCCTATACGAGAACAACCTCACCGGAGAGATTCCTTTCTCTACACGATATCAGCTTCCACACCTAGATACGCTCGACCTCTCCGACAACAGGCTCGTCGGCGAATTCCCGTCATCAATATCGAATTTTACGAACCTTACCATGGTGTACCTGGATGACAACAAAATTAGCGGTGCAATTCCTCGCGCCATCGGAAGTCTTCCCTTGCTGGAAACTTTAAGCCTATCCCCTCAGAGATCTTCCAACTGCAAACGCTTAGTGAATTAGACTTGTCATATAACCAAATCAACGGAGGAATACCAGAGACCCTGTCCAACCTCACTGAGCTGAACCAGCTTATCCTTCGGAATAACTGGATCAATGGTGAAATTCCCAAATCCATAGGCGCAGCTCAACAATTATTTTTTATCGACATATCCTACAATTGTCTTCAAGGTGCGATACCGGAAACCTTGTCGAACCTCACGTATCTGCAGCATCTTGTTCTCAACGATAACCAGCTCTCAGGCCCCATATGAAGCAAGCAAGAAGCATGATCATGGCCTCATGGGCCTTACCAGTTACCAATAGCATATATTCAGGTTACTATTACCAATAAATCTGGTCTGGGCTTAACGCCGTCAGAGTCAGTCAGTGTTGTGTAGGCACCTAGCAACAGATAGCAGTAACATATATGCGATGGTTCGAGAGTTGCAGTTTGGTGCATCACCCTGATGACAGAAACAGAACCTGTACAAAATTCAGGGCACTATTTTTGCCAGTCAGATTAGGAATTGTAGATGATGCAGTGCAAACCAATGGTCCATGTAAAGTGCTTGAGGACTTCGATCTTCTAGCCCATTTCTGGTAGTACCAGAAGCCCATGCTAGAAAGGCCCGCGCCCAGGCCGAAATTCTCCCTGTGAGATCAGGCCCAGCCGAGCCCCGGAGCCTGACTTCGTGTGGCGCCGCATACTCGCGCGCAAAAGCTGAGCAGGCTTCAACCAAAACTTCACAAAGCAGCAGTGGCTATTTTACGCCCTAAACTTTAAAACCGTCCAATCGAGCACGTTAAAGTTTTCCAAACCGTTTAATTAACCCTCTAGAGTGATTTTGTTAGCTGGTTTTGCCTACGTGGCACTACAACCTGATGATGAAAGACATGATGGCAGCAGGGCCCAGCTGTCAGTCACCTTGGCCCCAAAATACGGACGCTTGACCTGGCGGCGGCCTGTCTCGCTCGTGACTGTTTCCGTGCGGACGCTTTGACCCGGCGGGCGGCGGCGGCCTCCTGGCTCGAGCGAGCGCGAGCGCGCGCGGCACAAGAGCCGCGGCGGCGCGAGGCTTTGCTGTAGCTTCGCCAACAGAGGCGGGGTGAGGCTGTGCCGCGAGCAGAACCGCGGCGGCGGCGGCGAGGCGCGGGCAACAGCGGGCCGGAGAAGGACGGGCAACTGGGCTCTAGGACTCTAGGTCGGCGTCCGACGGGTGCCGCGAGCTGGCCGCGGGAGGGCCGTGCAGCGCCCACAGGAACCGGTGGCCGCTCGGCTCCAGCCCCGTGGCGACCTCGCGCGCCTTCGCGGCGTCGAACCAGCCCAGGCTCCCGAAGCAGAGGAACACCACCGACGCCCGTGGCTGCGCGTCGAGCCACGGACGCACGCCTCATCGTCGGACGCATCTTTCACACCTAGGTTGAGCACTGGGCCGATCGGGTACAGCGGTGGCACGCATCGGCCTTCATCGATGGCGGCGAGAAGCCCCGGCTCGAACTGGGTCACCCTGTTGACCATGATGCTGTCGGCGTCCATGAAACGTCTGCGGCTGCCGTGCTCCCGCGCCGCGGCCTCAACGTGGGGCTTGTAGAGCTCCAGGTACTGGTAGCACGACTCGAACTCCTGCAAGTTGCCGGCGCAGTCCGCGGGGGGCTACACGGCCGCGAGGTCACGCCAATGCCGGACGCCGCGACGCGCAGGACGTGCGCGCCCATCTCGGATGCCGACTCTGATGCCGGACGTCTTGCGCTAGCTAGCTAATTGCGCGTTGTGCTTCAGTCCGAACTGAACACATGCTCTATATATTATGTAAATTGTTGCTCGTAGGCAGTAGCGAGCGAGCACAGAGCACAAGGGACACCAAATATAGTCTAGTCTGGATCAAGGCCGGGGAAAAGGATTGGGCAGTCCCGAGCGCCGCCAGCGATGACGACGACGACGCTCGGTCTGTGGCGGTGTGAGCAGGGAAGTGGAGGACGAGTTCGAGCGGGTCATCGGGGCAGCACAGCCCGCCGCAGGGGAAGCAGGCGCCAGTCCCGTTGCAGTCCGAGAGGCCGTAAAGCGCGGCGGCGGTGGCGTGTGGTGCGGCCGCGAGCGCGGCCTCCACCTCCGCGTCCGTCGTCCACCAGTGTCGGGTTTCGACTGCCGCTCGGGCTCGCGGTGGGGCGCTCTGGCGCGGACAGGGGTTCCGGAGTTCGGAGACGGTGCGGCGAGCGGCCCGGGGAATCGCGAAGGAACGGTAGGCAGGCGCAACGCGAGACACGACATCTCGTCCTGCATCCAACCTTTAGGGAGGAAGAGCCGAGGAGGAGGAAGAGTAGGAGCCGTGAAGACGAAGGCGAGGGTCGGTAGGTGAGGCGTCCTGTGGACGGTAGCGAGCGCGAGCGGCAGAGATAGGAGTGCGTGCGCACGGTCGGTGATGGTGTTGGGAGTGTGCAGTCTGACAGGTGGGCCTAGACGCCATGTCATCAAAACCGGATTGTCATATCAGCGAAACCATCCAAATAGTAGCTCTGGGTTATTTGTGCGGTTTCACAAATCACAAGGTTTAGGGTACGTAATATCTGGTTTTTTATAGTTCAGGTTACCTAGACCTACATACATAAAGGCGTTACGTGACTTCTTCCTCCGCACGAAGCGCCCCCCAAAATGCCGCGGCTGACGCCGGTTGACGCGAGGCTCATTCTGGACCACGTCCTGGGCGACCCCTCGGTCCCCGCCGCCGCCGTCGACAAGCTCCTCGCCGCGCTCCCCTTCCCCTCCGACCCGACGCCGCGCCTCCGCCGCGCGGTCCTCCTCCGCCGCCTCGCCGCCGACCCGGTCTCCGAATCCTCTCTCGACACGCTCCAGCTCCTGGCCTCGCTCCCCGCCCCCGCCTCCCCAATCGCCGCCGCACACATCGCCGTCGCGGCCTTCATCGCGGCCTCCGCGTCCGACTTCGACGCCACCGCGAGGGCGATCTTCGCGCGCCCCGACGGCCGCGCGCGCCTCGCGGTCGACGAGGGAGGGTCCCCCGCGCTCGCCTCTGATGAGGTCATCGCCACAGTGGACCAGTTCGAGGCCGCCGTCGGGAACTCATTCTCTCAGACCGTCCTCAGGGGCCTGTGGGGCGACCGGTCCGCCACGGAGGAGCGGGTCAGGGAGCTCCTCGCCGCCGAGTGGGCTGCGATTGGGCCGTCGCTGCTCGTTGTGGCGGCTGAGCGGATCGTCGGGGATGGGGCCGTCGAGACATGGCGTGCCGCGGATGAGGCCACCCGTGTCAAGTTGCGCATTTTGGGTGAGGATTTTTGTTTTTTGGTGTGTGGTTTCCAGGGCATTGTGGTTTGTTTGATGAGTAAATTTGTTGGTAGCCTCTGGATTGGATGAGTCACGATGCTATAATTTTGCTCATGCCATGGAGCAGAGAAGATAACCTAGATAGTGTACGACAAACACAGATGCAATAAGTTTATATACAAGCAATGTACCCGTTGCACATTGTATTTTGCAGCAGCATTGTGATTTGAGTAGATTGCTTTGTCTGTGGTGCAATTCAAGGAGCTAGCGTTTAGTGGGGCTTTTATGTCTTTTTTAGTGATATAATATAATACAAAAAAGGGAACATTGAGTTGGGATTTAGAGGTCATATTCATCTTGTTCTAGAAATCGGTTTGCCTTAAAGTGTTATCTCTGAAACAACCATGAGTTGTAGCTATCCTAAACAGGTAATTGGAGTGTACTTGCTAATTTTTCTGCTTCTAGTTTCTTGTTTATCATAGATCAAGCTACATAATTTTAATCTTGTGAATACTTTTGATGGTGTCACTACAATATTTTATTGGCTTTATACCACTCATGTCAGTTATTTTAGTACTCCCTCTGTTCCAAATTATGACGTTTTGGCTTTTCTACATACATAGCTTTTGCTATGCACTTCGATATACACTATGTCTAGATACATAGTAAAAGCGATGTATCTAGAAAAGCCAAAACGTCTTATAATTTGGAACAGATGGAGTATCTTTTTGTTTGTTTGCATCTATGTTTCTTATTGATTTTGCAATTCTATGCATTCCATATAGAGCAGTTTGGGTTTCAAATCTTTTGGGCCAGCTCTAGGTCTTTTATGTGCATTGTTAGGTGGTTTTACTTTTCTAATTTGTTGTGATTCTGGTGTTCACAAGGTCATGGCCTTCATAGCCTATAATTGATTATATGAAATGAAATTTACAGCTGGGGAAGAAAATACACGTGAGGTTCTCGGCAAACTTGAAGAACCTACCTCCAGTGCAAATCCAATTTCAACACCAGCTGTGGAGAAGGCGATTGACGCGCTCAAAACAAGCTGTGCTGACCTTCACAGTGTTGTGGAGGATCCGCTTCCAGCTGCGAAGGCAGTTGCAGATGAGGTATTGGCTGCAAGGTTGGAGAAAGGCGTTAGTTTGAATGCTGAAGAAGTAAGAGGTCAGCCAACAACTTGTGGCACTGCAGGCCCAAGTGCTCCTAATTATAAAGACAAGGGTCCAAGTACAGGTAAACCTCACAACCTTATGGATTGGAACCCAACAACACGGACCTTTCAGGTGAGCATTTGTTTTGGAAAGAGTTATCTTTGCTTTTGAACTTTGTCCATACTGAACTTGCTTTGATTGTTAAATTGAATTTGTGATTGTAATAACTAGCTTTTGTTTCCATTGTGATTGAAAATGATACCAGTGCCTATATCATATCAATATTTTGCATTAAACATTGTGTGTGTACATTTCATTCATTTCTCTATTGATTTGAGTTTTCATTACAAAGACATTGCCAACTTTCTGCTCCTGCCTACATTCCCTATGTTTTCTGCAAAATCTGGATGATATGTGTTGTAAAATATTTTGAGGATATATGCGTTATTGGTAAGATGCTCTGACCATGACAAGAAATAATCAGATGGGGTCACAAAACCTAATAGTTGTAGGATTTTGTTTCACTTTAGTAAGGTAGCTGCTGAAATTGGATTTCGGATCATGAATGCTCTACTACAGTCCCTCTTTGTGTTACACTCAAACGTAAACTTACTGTAGTCTAATTGAAGCTCAATGAAGATACCTCATAACTTTTTAGTTAGCCCATAGGATAGCTTTATCACAGTCGCAAAATGTTAGATTCTGGTCATGTTTCTGAAAAGAAAACACTTGTTTGCAGTGGGAGGAGTCACCTGGTCCTGAGAGTTCAGAATCATCATTACGCAGACCGCACTTGCCTAGCCCAAGGAGAGCACCAGTTTCTCCTTTGCCGCCTTTAGAAAACAAAAATAGGCGTAGAAGGGCAAGGAAGTGGTGCTTGTTGGAAGAAGAAACACTAAGACAGGGTGTTGAACAGTATGCTTTGTCGTGATGTTCAGATATTATCGTTTCAGATCTCAGCTTTCTTGTTCTAAAACACTGGTGTTTAGATTGCTTCTGTTGTATGTTCCTCATCGTCATATTGTGCTTGCTTCATGTGTAGGTATGGTAGTGGCAATTGGAAGGACATTTTAAATAACAATCCTGACGTTTTTATCGGCAGAACACCGGTGGGTACTTCGTTATTACAGTGAAGTTTCTGGGGTTGCCAATCAAGGTACTGACGGGTTGTATGTATGATGTATTGTAGGTGGACTTGAAGGATAAGTGGAGGAATATGATTAACCGATAATGTAACGGAGAAACATGTTGGTGGACAAGTTACTGGAGCCCCTGCTCCTTCGGACAGGACTTCACGCTCTAGAGCACCTTCCATTGGTTTACTAGGGTGAAGTAGCTAGCCTGTTACCACATACCACTGTAGTCGTGATGTATTTAGCGACGTCACCAAGTGAGCACAGTAGACTCCATCGAACTCCAGTTTTGCTAATCTCGGCCAAACTTTATGACAGAATGCTTATCGAGTGGCTGATTCACCGCACAGGTGTATTATGAACTCTATTTTATATTTCTTATATGTATGCTGTCCTCGTTCCTGCATGCTTTGCATTGTAGCTTACTCGTATATGTATAAAGTATACATACATATACGGTAGGTCAACATTATCCTGCGTAATGCTGGATGCTCGACGGCCGGAAAGGCCCAATAAACGGCCCGAACATTGACCTTTTGATGACTGGGCTTCCTGATTCAGTACTGGAAAATCCAATCAGTCCGTGAAGGGAATCCTACGGGCTGAGAGTGCGCCAGGCCCACCAAATCCTCGCCACCATCCCAGGAGAAAAAAGGAAAATCCTCACCCGCACCGCTCATCTCTCCACAACGGCAGCAGGAAGCCAGGAACCGCCGCCGGCAGCTTTCTCGTCAAGCCCGGAGCGCCGGACGCCATGTTGCCCCCGCTTTCTTCGGCTCCTTCCCGTCTGCTCCCCAGGCGAACTGTCGCTTCCGCCACCGCCTCCTCGCCCTCGCCCTCGCCCTCGCCCTCGCCAGCAGGAGGGCACGGCCGCCGCCCCCTGCGCTACGCCGTCCTCGGCGCCGGCTTCGCGGGTCTCTCCGTCGCGTGGCACCTCCTCAAGGTCACCCTCCACTTCCCCTCTTCCTCCTCCCTCCCTGTGTGTACTATGACAAGCAGAATCGGCTGAACCGACACTGTCGCGATTTCAATTTTCAGCATAGCCCGAGGGATTCCCGCGTGTCGGTGGACATCTACGACGAGAACGGGGTCGGGGAAGGCGCGTCGGGCGTCTCGGGAGGGCTTCTCCATCCCTACTCGCCTAAAGGTCTTCCTCCATCGTCTCAACCAAACCATCTGAAAGTCATTGGTTTCGTACCCCACCTATGGCTACTGTGCAAATGGCCTGGTATCCAGCTTAATTCATTTCTGTTATGCGTTTGAATTCTTTGCTAATTACAGTAAAGCTTCTCTGGAGGGGTGCTGAGTTCTGGAAAGAGAGGATGGATCTCCTTCGAAGTGCAGAGCAAGCAAACGGAACCACGGGGTCAGATACAACTAATCAAGATGATAACCTTATCTGGAGAAGGCAATGCATACATCTTTGCAGCTACTGTAATATGTAGTCCTTTACTTGTCTCCACCTGCTATATATTTAAGGGGAGCTTCTAACTGAGCAGGGGAATTGTACGGCCACCTACAACTGAGAAGGCTGCAGACATATTGCTGGAGGTACTGCTGGATTGAGATTATGCAGATGCACAAAGGTGCTTCTTTTGTGTTTCTTGGCTCATCATTTTAATTGCTTCAGCATATATATTCAAGATAGAATGCTCAGAGTTGCCTGAGAGTTGCAGCCTTCAACTGCTTGATTCTGATGCCGCACAGCGTCTAATCCCTGGGCTGTGTACCCCATTTGACTTCGCAGTTTACATGCCACTGGCACTGAACATCAACCCTAAGAAATATCTACAGGTTCTGCATTGCTTCTTGCTTTGTGTCATTGTCACTTGTTTTGCCATTCTCTGTAGCCTGTACCTTGATAAGCAGATGTATTTCTTTCTTGGGTTTGTACAGGCACTGTTCTCTGCATGCCAAAATCTGGCAGATGAAGCATCCTCATTACATAGTGAGCAGAAAGAATTCAAGCTTTACAAGCAACATGTTGATAATCTACACCATTTGGCAGGTAAATTCTGGTAGTATGCAGTGAGAACAATGGATATATTACAATGTTCAGTAACTTGTATTTTCTGTTGTGTCATTATCCTTCACATTTTGGCTTCCAAAATTACCATTTGTATTTTTGGTCGCCGCTTAAGCATTTTAAGTAACGACACTAAATTGAAACTCTAATAGTGTCAGATTACACTTTATCAGTGTGGTACAGAACTAGAAATGTTAATGGATTGCATATATTTGACAGTTTGTATGGCTCTTTGAAGCAATTTCACTGCAGTAAGAATTTTTTTTAATGCCTAAGGCACTTCAAACATGTGCAGGCAATTATGATTCGGTTATCATCTGCCTTGGGGCCAAGGCTCACTCACTTCCTGAACTTGCAAATAAGTTGCCACTTAGGACCTGCAGAGGAGTTATCGCTGAATTTCAGTTGCCATCCAATACAGTGTAAGTAGGTTCTGCATAATGAAAATTTACACTATTAGTTTGGCAAATCTGATTGATGCATATTGCATTTACTTCCTGCAGAGAAGAGTATGGCAGTCAAAGCCCTTCAATCTTATCTGATGCATGGCTGGCATTCCAAGGACCACGAACTGTTTCTATTGGGTCAACTTGGCAATGGAAATCTGAGAACGATTCTTCAACTGTATCTGATGAAGAATCTCTTACAGCAATGGAAGAGTTGCTCCCAAAAGCTTCTGGCGTATATCCAAGAATAAATAAATGGGATTTTGTACGTGCAAGAGCTGGAATACGAGCCATGCCTCCACTTACAGCTAATGGGTCATTGCCGCTTTTGGGTTGTTTGGACGATTTACTAGGCAAGAAGAGCAACTGCACATTTTGGCTAGTTGATGGACTTGGTGCCAGAGGTCTTCTGTATCATGGTTTAGTTGGAAAGTTGACTGCCAAAGCTGTGATTTCCTGTGATGAAAACATAATACCTTCTGAGTTCACGTGCGGGAATGTAATTAAGCCTTAGTGAAAGCTGAGATGTGGTTCAAACTTCAAGCATGCCGTTCTTCATCTGTAGGAAATGGGACCCTTGTAGATGAGCCAAAATCTGACAAGGATGGTGCAAAACCCATGGTGTCATCCTGGTGCAGTGAGCCAGTCACTACTGCATATTGAAATCTGCCCAAGGCATTCCACGTCCATCCATGTAAACTCAAATGCCACCACAACTCTGCAAGTAAGATGATGTTCTACTTCAGATGCCTGACCTTGTGTCCAAAGAATTGTGCCGAGCCTGTATGTTTCTCCTGGTGAACTCAAATGGCAGCGCTGAGGCTTGGTTGAGGTGCAAGTCTCTTTCTGTTCTAGGAAACAATTGGGTGAGTGGAGCAGAGGTCTGTTGACACATGGTCCTATACTTTCATATTACTCTCAGATCCCTTTGTGTTTCGTTTTCTAATTTCTTATGTATTTCCTACTGTTAGTTGAATCGTCACTTCTGTAAACCTCTCAAAGGTTATGAGTTTTGCATGAGTAGAGTATTCAGATCAGTAAAGTATTCTGGCATTCACTAACCAGTCAGATGAGATAATTGATTCGGAATTTAGCATTTACCATGTTTGATGCTAGTTTCTCATGATTTAATTGATTCGGAATTGTAAGAAATATTTTAAAATGTAGGTGAATGATTAGTCATCCACTGGCTAATGGACTTGTGATACACTTCAACTTTACCCATAACTAGAAATCAGTGAAGCAAACAAAAAAAAAGGCTGACAGTATGATGATTAGATGAACAGAACTAAGTATATTGTATGGATGTTACACCTCAGCATTCGCGTACCGTTGTATAGTGTATAGCTGTACAATTTAGAATTAAGAACACAACAATACGTAGGTACATATTCACTTGATCAGAGAGTTAACAAAAAGCTCTTGCCGCCCCAAAACCCACATAAAGTACACCTAAGGAAACGAAGAACACGGGACTCCCCCTCCGGCCACCGCTGGACGCCGTCGGTCGCGCGGTGTAGCTTTACGGAATGGTATCGGTGCTGATCCCCTTCTGCTAGCTTCACCACCGATTCGACGCGCCTCTTGAGTGTCTGCAGCTCCACATGTCTGCAGGCACCAAGAAGACCGGCGAGATCAGCGGCGCTAGAGATGGTGGGCTAGTCGCCGGAGAAGACGGTAGCTACGTGTACCTTGCGACCTTGGCGGGTCTGCTCGGTGAGCTCGGACTGCTAGTCCTTGCTGCCTAGAAGGTCGGAGGAGGAGGAGGAGGAGGTGGCGAGCTGGTTCAGGCCGTGGAGTGCCCTCTGCTCTACCGCCCACTGTGCCTCGCGCTCGCCCTCGCCGCAGTCCTTGTTCGTGAACGCCGTCCGCGCGAGACAAGCACCCAGACGTATCACTGGAGACGACACGACACAGACAGAGAGACAATCCATGGCAAGGCAACCGATCAAGACTACGTCATCGTCAGCTCAAGATCAAGGCAGAGTAGACGACGACAACAGTGGAGCAGTTTGAGTGAGAGTGGCCAAGCTTGCCTTGTTCTGGACGTTGTTGCCCGTGGCCTTGCCTCTGAGCGCGGCGCGGATCATGAACTTGAGCACGTCGAGCGGGATGTAGGTGACGACGCTGAAGATCCAGATGGCGCCGCCCCACGCCCAGCCGATCCCCTGCATGCGGCAGAAGTCCCAGTTGGCGTACACCGCGATGCACGTCGCCACCAGCTGGGCGGCGAAGAAGGCGAAGAGCAGGAGGAAGCCCGGCCGCTCCACGAAGGACCAGCTCCGGGACCGCGTCACGAAGATGAGCGCCTGGCTGATGATGCTCACTTGGAGGTACAGCGCCGCCATCAGCTCCCTGTCGTTCTCCTTGATCGACATCACGCCGAACACGTCCTGGGCATCGCATGGAAATGGAATGGCTGCTGGGTGAGCGAGCTTGCTACCAGTGAAAGGACCGTCCTGGATAATGGACCTGGCAATGGCAGTGGGGTAGGTGTACCGTGAAGAAGTCGGTGTCGTGGGCGAGGTAGAAGAAGACGGCGGTGACGATGGCCATGTAGGTGCCGAGCACGATGCCGGTGGCGAAGATCTCGTCGAGCTTCCACGAGTCAGGGGTGGGCGACGGCTTCACGCGGTCCTTGGAGATGGTCATGATGGTGCCGTCGTTGAGGATGGCGATGATGAGCACCATGAAGGGCGCGAAGTCGAACTTCCAGATGAGCGCGATGAGGAGGAAGCCCAGCACGATGCGGATGGTGATGGACACGGCGTAGATGGTGTAGTTCTTCATGCGCTGGAAGATGGAGCGGCTCGTCAGCACGGCGCTCACGATCACGCTCAGCCCGGGCTCCGTCAGCACGATGTCCGACGCGCTCCGGGCCGCGTCCGTCGCGTCGTCCACGGCGATGCCGATGTCCGCCTTCTTCAGCGCCGGCGCGTCGTTCACGCCGTCCCCGGTCATGCCGCAGATGTGGTTCCTGTCCTGGAGCCGCTTCACGATCTCGTACTTGTGCTCGGGGAAGACCCCCGCGAAGCCATCGGCCTTCTCGATGAGCTCGTCGATGTGCATGCCGTTCACCGTGCTGTTCTTGTCGCCCAGGAGCGTGGTGGAGGGGTACATATTGGTGCCCATGCCGAGCCGGCGGCCGGTCTCCTTGCCGATGGCGAGCTGGTCACCGGTGATCATCTTCACGTTGACGCCCAGGTGGAGCGCGCGGCGGATGGTCTCCGCGCTGTCGTGTCTCGGCGGGTCGAACAGGGGCAGGAGGCCGATGAATTGCCACGGGTCGCCGGCGCTCTCCTTGCTCTTCTCCGGCACCTGCTGGTAAGACACGCCGAGCGACCGGAGGCCGCGGTCGGCGTACCCGTCGATCAAGGCATGGACCTTCTTCTCGGCCTCGGCGCCCATGTTGCAGAGCTCGATGATCTGCTCGGGAGCACCCTTGCTGACCCTGTGCCAGTCGCCATTGCCGTCGATGTAGGTGATGGCCGTGCGCTTCTCGACCGGGTTAAAGGGGAGGAAGTGGACTTCCTGGATGCCAGCGCGGGCCTCTTTGGGGTCGGCGAGCATGTTTACGATACAGGTGTCGATGGCGTCCTGGTTCTCGACGCGGGAGGCCCTCGCGGCGTAGAGGAGCACCATGTCCTTGTCGACGCCCTTGGAATACACCTCGATGAGGGACTTGTCGACGGTGAGCTTGTTGAGGGTGAGGGTGCCGGTCTTGTCGCTGCAGAGCATGTCCATGCCGGCCATCTCCTCGATGGCCGTCATGCGCTTGGTGATGGCCCCCTGCTGTGACAGGCGGTGGGAGCCGATGGCCATGGTGACCGAGAGCACGGTGGGCATGGCTATGGGGATGCCGCCGATGAGCAGCACGAGGAGGTTGTCGATGCCATCGCGGTAGGCGCGGTGCTGGATCGGGTACATGACGACGATCTCGACCAGCATGCCGGCGGCGATGGAGATGATGCAGAAGTTGCCGATGGCCGTGAGCACCTGCTGGAAGTGGCCGACGTTGTTGGTGCTGTCGACGAGGTGCGCCGCCTTGCCGAAGAAGGTGCGCACGCCGGTGGCGATGACGACGGCCTCTATCTCTCCCTGCTTCACCGTGGAGCCTGAGAACACCTCCTGCCCAGGGTGCTTGTTCACAGGGAGCGACTCGCCGGTGAGCGCCGACTGGTCGATCTTGAGCGGGTCGCCCTTGAGCAGCCTCGCGTCGGCGGGGATGATGTCGCCGAGCTTGATGCTGATGATGTCACCGGGCACGAGGATCGACGCGTCCTGCTCCTCCCAACTGCCGTCCCTCAGCAGCTTGGTCTTGGGCGCCAGCCCGGCCATGAGCGCCGCGGCGGCGTTCCCGGCGTTGGCCTCCTCGATGTAGCTGATGGTGGAGTTGATAAAGAGCAGCGAGACGATCCCGACGAAGTCCTGCCAGTCAGGCGGCCTGCCGCCGCCGTTGGCGAGCGCGATGGCCATGATGGCCGCCATCTCCATGACCCACGAGAGCGGGTTCCACATGAAGCCCAGGAACTTGAGCAGGTTGTTCTCCTTCTTCTCCTCCAGCTTGTTGGGTCCGAATGTCCTGAGCCGGTTCTCGCCCTCCGTGCTGGACAGACCCTTGCGGTCGCATTTCAGCGTCTTGAACACCTCCTCCACCGGAATCTTGGACTGCAATTCCCAAAGCCATCAAGCTAGCATCAGTGCGCGCGCGGCGCGTCACGTGTGACGGTGGTCAACAAGGACGGTGATCGCGGCTGCGCACGTACCAGATTGACGTCCCCGCCTATGGTCTCCGGGGAGATGGACGCCATGGTTGCTTCTTTTTCTTGTTTTCTTTTATTGGAGTGCGTGCGGGGAGCCTCGCTCAAGCCAAAGGGGCGGGCGCCGTCCGGCCGGTCACGAGGTCACCGCGCCAGGGGCGGAGGTCTTCGGAGCGCACGGAGGGAGGGCGGGGCACGCAACCGGCTGCCTGCCTCTGCCTCTCTCTCCGTGGATGGACGAAGACGGCATTGGCCGTTACACGGGCGCGGCCGCCTTATAGGGAGCAGCGGGCGCGGGCGGTGCCCCCGCGACACCGAGCTCTTTTTTTGGCTGCCCGTGCCCGGCCTTCGTGGAGCGCCTCTGGTTCGCGGCTTCGTCTCGGCGTGCGCTGGCTCCGAGTGCGCGGGCCTCGAGGCGTTCCGGGCGTGCGGGGAGGAGGCGACACGCGGAAATACCAAACCGCGACGCCATGCGGCCGCATACGCTATCCTGGCATCGTGCTGGTCAACTCCTGTAGCTAGAGCATCACCAACTACTCCGTATGTTCAGAAAACAGTCCAGAAGGCATGGTTTTTAGGCATTCCCAATTTTCTATACCTATTAATTTTTATAGGCAATATATATATATATATATATATATATATATATATATATATATATAGAAAACCATGGTCCTAATAAATAGTTTCTACGTAACAATTTTTTATCCAATCAAATGCATTCTTTCTCCATTCTCTATCAATCACATCCCTTCATGTATTAGTTTTTGTGTAGACATGGTTCTAACTTAGATCCGGTTTCTAAGATTTTTCTCTCTCTCTTCAATAACTACCTTGCCACATCAGCAAAACACTTAAGTGATAGTATAATTAATGTCCATAGAAACTATGGTGATTTCTGCATTGGGAGTGCCCTTAGTTGTCTCAAAAAAGGCATGGTTTTTAGTTCCTTTCCAAAAACTATTGGAGGAAAATAAAACTTTTCCTCAGACAGTAGTCCTATTTTTTGTTTCCACATAAACTGACTCATGGATTCTGATACAGAAATGAACACTCGAGTATTTTAGAACAATCCAACACTCGATTTTTCTCTTCTCTATTCTTTCTCTCCCTCCCGTCTTCTCCAACTCCAGTGGGCTTAGAAAAAGGAATTAGGGGAGGGAGGCAGACTTGGCAGTGGGGACGAGAGAGACGGAGGCAGCGGTGGCGGAGGCATGCGGCGGCGGAGGTGGTCGGGTCAGGTTGGGGCGGGGGCGACCATGGCCATGACGCCGGCGGGAGGATTGGAATGAGGAGGTTGCCGCGGGCGCGATAGGTCTCACCGGAGCTCCACGGCCACGTGCGGCTGGGCTAGGTTGGGGCAAGGGCGACCATGGCCATGACGACGGCGAGGGGATTGGAAGGAGGAGGTTGTCGCGAGTGCAGTAGGGTCTCGCCGGAGCTCCTACCATGCCGCGGCGGGGCGGACGTAGTGGAGGACCATGGACCGGAGGTAGAAGAAAAGAGATGGGTCGTCCATCTTCATCCGACGGTCAGAATGAATAGTGTCCAACAGCTTTAAAACACTCGATTATTGTGTAGACAAACTCTTCTGATATATCCACATCTCCATATAAATAGGTCTAAGCTCTTACGATCACTTTTAACCGCTTAAGCTCTTACGATCACTTTTAACCACTTATGCTTGGGACTACTCCACGAACATTGTTCGACAAACTCCACCATGGAGCAGCTCCACAAAAAACCTAGACTTTATGGAGCACCCTTTAGGTGTTCTCACAACTTTACCTTTTTTTTTTTTAGAGTAGAGTCACTTTTTTTCCTAGAATAGAGTTACGTGGAACTGTAAAAGACGTGGAGTGAAGTAGACATGGAGGCCCTTTTCTTGCTGGTTACCAAGACAACGGAGACAGAGCATTAGCAGACCCAAGTAAACTCCCTCCGTGGCTCCGTTTCAAATTATACAACGTTTTGACTGTTGTACATACATTGTTTTTAATCTGTATCTAAACAATGTATATATCTAATGTATATAAAAAAAAAAAGTCAAAAAACATCTTATAATTTGGAATAGACGGAGCAGTCGAATTCAAAACAGGCCTAAGATGAAAACAGAAAAATAGTGAACAGCATTTGAAATATGGAACTCGACGCCCGTCATATCAGAACAGAAGGAGCTAAAGAAGACCCGCCAAGGTACACAATTTTACCCCCGCCAAAGTATACAATTTTACCCCCAGCAGCTGAAATCGATTCAAGGTGTTAGTGCATTCTATTCCTAAGTTTTTCCTATTCTTGTGTTTCTAAAATCCTGTGTTCCAAAGAGGCCATTACCCTCAGCAGCTGAAATCAATAGTAACAGATGAGCTAGATAAGCATCCTGATCGTTATTCACATGAATGGTCCAGTTCTGATTGTGAAACATAATTCAAGTAAGCAGCAACGCCTCTACTGATTCACAGCTTTTTCTATGGAAAAATAGGTCAGGATCAGGACTCAGGAGTGAATACTATTTAAATAGCAACGCATCTACTGATTCACAGCTTTTTCTATGGAAAAATAGGTCAGGATCAGGACTCAGGAGTGAATACTATTTAAATAGAATCATAGATTTTGTCGCAAGAGCTCCAGCAGCCAAGAAATAACATCCAATGTATAATTCAACAGCTCCATGGTCGTACTCGTGTAACGAAGGGTAACAAGTGTACACATACAGCAACCAACTCGACTAACAGGTTTCTGATCTAAATACACACATATAACCAAGCAATATAATTCCATTAGGAATCTTGACAGAAACTACTGAACTATAATGCCAGATCATATATCAACATTGGGAAGAATGCTCTTACTATCATAGAGTATAACTCGAGGTACAAACAACCAGCACAGAGCATTTGTTATTATAACTAGATACTACACCATTTTTACAAGAAATCCAGGAGGATACAGACAGTCCAAATTCTGAAATTTTGAGTAAGGAATCCAGGAGGATACAAACAATTCGACTGAAACGGACCGGCCATGGAGCTTTCTGCTCACCATGAATTGCAAACAACTGTAATGATACCTAACACTATTCACATGCCTACATCATGCTACCAAATAAAGGCATTCAAATTATGTCAAAATTAGCAATATCAAATGCATACCAAATCACGAGTAACCCAACCTAAATCATATAAAAGTGTTGAAACCAGGCAGTTAAGTGAGGAATGGGAGGAATGGACAACCATGCACAATCAGAGAAGCATAGCAAACTGGCAAAATAATTGGCTAGAGATCAACTGATTAAGGCACTGCAGGTTAAATAAATTCAGCATAGCATAAAGGCGGTTCTTTAACCATCAGACAAACATGATATTCTCAGTATGCTACAGCAAGCACAACTGATAAGATCCATTTAACACAAGCAAAATCTTAAACAAGAACTTCCTAGCTTCAGAGCCCTATCCTCCCCAAGCATCGTTGGCCAGCATCTCTTCCACCGCTCAGAAGCCGAGCTTGGTGCGGCGCCAGTGCCTGCGCTTGGCGTTGTACCTGACACACAAAACAAGAAAAAAAGGAACAAATGAGCGACGGAAGCACGGGACACCTAGCGAAACAGGACGAAGGCCAGGACGAAGGTGCTGAGGCCAACGAACCTGATGGTGTTGTCGGTGCGCATGCGGATCCAGTAGGGGATGGGGCGGTTCTGGCGCATCTTCTTGGCCAGCTTCTTCTTGATCCGGAAGGTCTTGTGGGACGGCTGCGCGGGGACGCAACGCAACACGACGGGACAAAGCGTAAGATCGACGAGGAACACCACGACTAACCCATGAATCCGAGACCTTAAGCGCAAAGGTCGGAGATACGCACCATGGCAGCGGCGGCGCGCGAAGACGACGGAAGCAGCGGCGGCGGCGGCGGCTGAGGAAACCCTTCTATGGGAGAGATCGAGAGGACGGAGGCCGCTAGGGCTTTTATCGGGGACTCACGAGTGGAATGGGCTGGATGGGCTCGGGATACTTGGGCTTTGTTAACGCGAGGGAGATTGGGCTTGTATATATCCTATACAAAAGGCTGCCATACCCTCAAGCTATCGTCGTAGTTTAGATCTTCCTCAACGCAAACTCTAAAACTAGACATACCGTTTCCCTATAAAAAAATATACCGTTTCTTCGTAAGGTTTTTAAACCACGAAAATGACCTATAGGCTTGTCAATTTTTTTTAGAGTTCGAGGGCCACTGCCCGGCCTTTCATTAGCATAAAAGATCACAGATCATTCAGTTACAGCACTGATTTTAACATCCATCATGCCCAACACACGCCAGAGCTGGGGAAAGTCTAATTAAGTAGAAACAACAAAGCCAAAAAGGAAAATTGATATGAAAAAGAGGCTGATGCCCGAGACCCCTCTACACCTCACACCGTCTCCAGAATCTCATTGAGCGACCGCCACCAGGGGATCACAATGAAGCCCTCTTGTCCACCCTTCTCATTGAGGTGAAAGGTCTTCCACTTGCTGTTACTGTCCTCAACACCCACCGTGCTTTTTAGGTCACCACTTGATAAGGCAGCCAGAGGACCTCCTTGGTGGCTTCCTTGATCTTGTTGATAACATCCAGCAACTGACTTCTCTTATACGATCACCCAGTTTTGCAGCACACCACCTGTTCTGTGAAGCAGTATTTCCATACTCTTCCATCCAGACCAACAAATCTCGTTCCTGAGTTTCCATAAATTCCATAAAACTGCAGAAGTAACTATATTAACAACAGTACGTCTCTTATTGCTAAGCCAAAGCTTCCCTACATCAATCAAAGACTCTTCTATGTTAATACCCAGAATTTTAGAAATAATGCACCAGCATTGTTTTGCCACTACACATTGGAAGAGAAGGTGTTGTACAGATTTCTCTTCACAACAAAATAAACAGCTCTTATCTTCCACCTTTTTCCTTTTAGCCAAATTATCCCTAGTTAGAGTTCTATTGTTGACCAACAGCCGAAGAAAGAACAGAACCCTGGGAGGGACTTTGATAGACCAAACTGCAGGTACATGCACAGAA